TGAGAAAATCTGAAATGAGCTTCTGTTCATCCTACAGAGTATGTTACAGCCTTTCTGTTGGTGGACTTGCACTGGTTTGTGACATCCCCTCCCATCCATATCCTACCCTGATGACAGGGTAGGATAACTCTTGGGAGTTATGACCTTGTGTTTTCTCCTTGAGTTTGCCTAGTGAAGTAGTACAGTCAGCCACAGGCATTGCACCAACAAAGATATGCCTCTGGAAGATATACATAAAGTACATCACCCCTCCTTTTGCTATCCACCAGGCAGGAGACAGCCCAGGCAGCTACATCTATTTATTTATTTATTTATTTATTTATTTTAAAAATGTGCCTAGCTTTCATCAGGGCTACCCAAGCTGCTAACGGTTAAAAACAAAGCTTATTAAAAACACATCACAAAAACAATTGTGATGCAGTTCTTAAATGTTACAAGAGCGCTTTCCCTCTGTTTGGACATGACTTAACTGTGTTACAGGAAATAGCAACCTATCTATTACTCAGGCTATAATAGTATACAGTGAGTCTCTCCCATGATAATCATTTGTAGGTTTTCACATGCGATACAATTCTGTTATGATCCCTAACTCTTGGGTAACTCCCACAACAGATACATGTTATTCCAGAAACATGGATATGTCTTTGGCCATCTGCCTGGGGTTCTCCCCACCATAATTATATACACCAGCCATCTGCATCCAGAAATTTGACTTTCTTTAAATGTTATGTTCTTGACATTTGGGCTACACTTCCTCCCCCCTTTTCCCAAGAGCTTTCGTACCCACCTCCAGGAAGGTCATCTTGCTAGTCTGTATCCATGAGCTCCTCTCCGGAGAGCTCATTGGAGTTTAGGAGCCCCTGAACTCCTCTTAAGGATCCAGTGATCCGGTGGCTTCACGGGAGCAAGTCCTGGAGCCAGCCATTCTCGTTGCACCGAAAGACCACCTCCAGCAAGATCTCAGTGACAGTCCAAGACCACCTCCAGCAAGATCTCAGTGAGAGTGTCCATGGCAGTCATGGACATGAAGTCATGACTCACGGGGCAAGGAGGAAACAGAACATCTCAGCAAAATAATATAAGAAGATAAATCACTGTGAGTGATTTATCTTCTTATAACTGCAATATTATTAGGAACTTTTCCACTGATTAAGCCCTTTAAATTGTTTGTAAGGGGGGAGAGAAAGGGAGGAGTGAGGATCTCCTCCCCCCACTTCTCTAAAGCGGCTATGAAAAGAAGAGAAAGGAACTTTCTTAATACATTTATTGGGCTAAAGAAGAGAAGGTTGATGTCTGAAGAAAATTGTGAAACAGATTTATAAATGTGATATCATTATACTTGGGATTACAAAACCATATTGTGGATTATAAATCTTTGGAATACTGTAATTAGTATCAGACTCTAATATTGAAATGGAAACCTATCTTCCCTGGAATTATAACTCAGCCATAAGGATTCATAGAAAGACATTTAATTCGGATTATGAATATCTACATTTTATTATCTGGACCATAAACTAAAATCAAGAAGAAAGAAGGAAGAATTAATGAATTATTAAGCATATATTTTTAACTTTCACTACGCCATTTCCTTATAACTCATTGTGTACACTTTGCTGTTTGTTGAAAACTGTAAAGTATATTATGCTCTGAGGTTCTTGTAAACAATTGATAAGTCTGTATTACAACTAAATGATAAGACTGTCTGCCTTGCCTGGGAACCCTCTTATTTTTAATGTAACTGGGTAAGCATAGAATGCTCTGTGATTGCAGAGATTTTATTGACAAAGAGCTGGAGAGATTCTCTGTTTTTAACTCAGTATTTTGAAATGGCTGGAGTAGAAGAAGGAAAAAATGTTCTAACACCAATGGTTACAGATCTCCAACTTTTTTTTACAAGAAACAATTACAAGAAACAATCACTCCAATAGTAGAAAAAGCTGTGAAAATGGCTCTGGACTCTATGCAATCTAAGCTAGACTTACTTCTACAGGTAGTCTGTATCAATCTGTTGCACAGAGACCATAAAGAAGTAAAAACAGTTTGCTGACATATAACTGTTGTTCTTCAAGTGTATGCATTTACATGACCTACCCAACTTCCTTGCAACAGGTGTCTTTTTTAACTTTGCTACCTTGTACTTACATTCTTTGGGATGAACTGAGCAGGAGTACACAGCTCTTCATACTCTGGGTTTCCGAGTCTAAGTTAGCACCCTGGGGGAATAAGATCTCTGCATATAGTAGCTATCTCTAGAAGCTTCCATATCATAGCTCTGCACAGGCACAAAGAGCATCAGTGTGAATGTGCAGATGCACACTGACAAAACACCAGTTACAGGTAAGCCAGTTGTTTTGCTTGTAGTGATCTTAACATTTAGCATGATAGTCTGAGAATTTTAAGTTTTCAGCTACGTATTTCATAGTGAGCTCACAGTTTTGTGATGAAAGTAGAAAAATTCTGAATTCACCAGAAGTTTCTATGAAACTCATACTGAGAAAGGCTGGGATTGCCTGCATGGAACAGCTGTGTTGGCAATAGATACTTGGTCTGTCCAGAGTTAACTGTTTGGAACCTTTCAGATTACAGAAGATGCTTATCATACTTTGACGTGTAGATGAAAATATGGAGAAATGCATGTTTTATTACACTGTTATGTTTTCATCGCTGCGTTCTTCATTGGCAAAAGCAGCAGAAAATTAATGTGAACACTACAATAAGATTAACAATAGGTCATGAATAGTGTACTCAAGTAGGAAATCAATGGAATTGCATAGGGCAGTCAAAGTCCTCCTTAATATGGTACCATGGAAATCTGCTTGTATATTGTCCCTTTAAATTAATTGTTAGAAGTGTGGTCAATATGTACAAGAAAATAACAATTTAGCACAAATTTACATTCTTAGTCAAGGAGCTGTACATCTCATTATGGCTTGGATCCAACAGAAACATGCTGTGGAAGAGATTTTCATCAGCATAGTGTAAATTTCTCTTCTGCCCGTCTCCCTCTGCAATGCAAAATAACCCCTGAAATGTTGCTCCTGGGGATCAGGGGATCCCCATGAACAAAATGAGGGGGTTTGGGGGGTCTGCAGTCAAGAGGGAAGAGTTGACAAAATCACATCTCTCATCTAGCTGTGCATATCCTCTATCTGCTGGATTAATATCTTACTGCTATGAAAATGACCTCCGTTTCCAGAACATATGAGTAGAGCCTTCCGCCCAATGGACAGAGGTCAAGTTGAGCATTGTGGGCCCTGCTTTTCACTTATAGACCCTACCACCCTCCGCAACTTCTGTCAAATAGGGTCAGGGTTGTAGGTAGGTCAGACAGCCACAGTTTGCCACCCTTTTTGCCTCTTTTAAAATATAGAGAGAGTCCTCATACATAAGATCCCCTCTCTCTCAGTCACAAAGACATTATCAGACAGGGTAGCCCGGTCCTCTTAAGAATCACCCCTCACTCAGACACTTTACTTTGGGACTTGAACACTACCTTAATCACACACTGCCACCATTTATATATATATATGCAGAGAGACTGAGATCTTAGTTTGGATGTGTGTGTATCCTTCTTTCCCTGTGACCATATGTAATCAGCCCACAGGGTTAAATAAACAAGGATTTAACTTTTATTTATGGCTTAAATACAACATTGGAATGAATTAGGTAGACAATGACAAAGTTTCTCCATACGTAAACGTTTGAACCATAGTTCTGTTCAGACATTTGGGATTCTTTGTTAAAAGTTTGTTTTCTTCCAGTCAGTGTCAAACTAGTGTTTTTGCTACATGCTGGTTCAAGCTTACTGCTTCGTCCCCCAGCCATTTCCCCTTCTAACTAAACTAACCGTTTTCAACTGTCAGCCTAGGGTTGCCAACCTCCAGGTGGGGCCTGGCATTCTCTTGGAATTACAGTGATCTCCAGACTACAGAGGCCAGTTCAAGCATTGTTTGGAAGAAATGGAGGCTTCAGAGGGCAGATTATGGCATCGAATCTCTATTGAGCTCCTCCATTGCCCCAAACTCCGTTGTCCCCAAGCACTGCCCCAGATCTCCAGGAATATTCTAAGGCAGAGATGGCAACCCTGTCCCTCTTGCCGACATTATGTTAGATCCCATTGGCTGCTCTTAGGAAGAGGCAAAAACTGATATGCCCATCACCACCATGTTTCCAGAGAAGTGGCATTCCGAATTTGTCTCCCATATTACAGCAGTTAGAGCTGAGCAAACTCTTAGTCTGCCTTTTTAGGAGGTTTTGATAAGTCCTAGAGAGAAATTCACCTCCTGTCTACTATTTTCTGTTTCTCATATTTTTGTTTGTGTAAAAAAAATTAGTTCCCGGTCTTCAGGAAATAAAAGTACTTTACAGTGTCCATTGTTATCCTCTTTCTCAGTATTACCAGTGAGTTTTCAGTCTGTCCTCCAGATTGACCGTCCTGCTTTCATGACACCTACAGATCAAGGAATATTATTCTCAGGTTGTCTTATGAAGGTTTATAGGGTTGTATCCCCCCTGTCTGGTTGCTTTATTGTTCTTTTTTCTGTTTGTTTGCATTGTGCAAGATGCTTGGCAAGGTGTTTTATTCCTCATATTTTATAGTGTAGAAGTTTCAAAGTTCATGATATCTCAAGCGTTAGTCCTCTTAGCAAGGAAAAAAGGGAAGTACCATTCTCTTTAAACTGTCTTATATTCTGCCTTAATGTTCTGTGTTAGAAGGCCCAGCCTGTCTATTCTGGAACACCTCACAGTAATACCATTTTGCTGTTGGCCACTTGACATAAATTGGTGTGTGTGTGTGTGTGTGTGTGTGTGTGTGGACAAGGAATCTGATACACTTCCACATATGCCGTCATACCATTATGAGGAGTCCCCTGAGTATTCAGAAGCTCCTCTCTTGTCTGTGGCTTAATTTGTGCTTCAAATATATAGCAAAATATTTGAGTAAAATGCATATATAACCATATTATATGAATAACACTTACTGGTTTTATCAACAGGCACTGTACGAATTGAAATGTTTAGAAACATGCAAAATGCGGAAATCATCAGGAAAATGACTGAAGAATTTGATGAGGTACAGTATATTAAGGAACGTTTTGAGCTTTTAGTTTAAAGGATGCTGGGAATTCTTCAGAGGCCTTTATCCTGATGAACATTAGCCCGTTTAAGGAATTGTTTTGGTTGAAAGAGTAAGTTATTCATTTATACTTGTGGGTGATAATTGAGAGGAAACTGATACGAGAATTAGTTACCTAGATGCTAACTAGTGCTATAATATGGCCAGATGTACATGAATTAATTTTTTTTATTTCTTCCCTTTGGAGGAATATAGAATTTGGAAGGAAATGTTCAAGCATTGTTTGGAAGAAATAGAGGGCTATCAATGATTAAAGAATCCTTAAAGAAAACCTGTAGTGAAAATTTCAGGCAACATTGCTATATAAAGAATATTCAGTATTCTGTTATAACTGTTAAACGTTATTTATTAGATTACGCAAGCTGAAGGTCTGCAAGGAATAGCTGGGCAAATAAACAATTGGGAAATTTCATTCATCCCCTTGTTCCTAGTCAGTTTTCTGCATAGCTTCAGATTCCTTTAAGTGTAGAGAAGCCCCTTCCTTATCTGTAGATAGTTGTGTTTCTGTTCTGCTGCTAAGTTTGCTGTTAGAGGAAACATTAGGGCTCATGTGAAATCATGGACCAGTTGAAGAATTGTGAGATCCCCCTCCCCTAGTCTCTTTAAGCTCTTAGGAGCCTGAGCATGCCCCCCTCCTCCCCCTTCAAACAGTCTCCTAGAGCATGGTTCCCCAATATGGTACCTGTGCCTGCCAGTACCTTCCCTGGTTCCCACCAAGAGCTTTTGCAAAGTGAGTGGAGCTAGGGCAGGCCTTGTGCCCAGAAAGACATCTGATTGGCTGTGCCAGATTAAAAGGCATCCTGTTAAATAAAACTTCTGCTTGAAATGTTGAAGAATAACTATTAGGGTTGTATGTAACTTTGCTCCCTGACATTTTGTGGTTGGCTCCACTAACTGTGGCAGCTGGTGTGTGATTGTGCCCACCACAGTTCTTGTGTTAGTAGCTTTGTTATGTTGAACTCCCCCTCCCACTCCTATTCACCTTTTCCTAACAGTAAAGAAGATGACACATATGAAGATTTTTATACTGAATAGTTATTTCTGACATGATTTGCTTTCCTATGGATTGTCTTCACATTCCATAAGAAACTTATATAAAACTTTTCCAGGATAGAATCGTAAACATTGTTGTATCAGTGCACTGATTCTTTTTATGGACAGCCTACCTGTCTGCAAATGAATACTTTTCTCTAATAGTTCCAACCTCAGTGCTGGAAGAATGAATAACCTCTGTGACTACTTGGGTCTTAGAATTATCACTTCTATCAGAAGACTAATTAGGTGGACAGAGGGAGTCATATATATACAAACCTTGAACAAATTCTAAACCAAATTCTATTCTGAAGCACTCAGTAATATCTGGCTGTTCCTCATCTGGGGCCATTGTACCCTCTAGGACCTTCTTTATGTCAGCCTTGCCTCAGGAGGGGTCTCAGAATTCAGAGAGGAAGGGGGGTTGGCAACACCCTTGGAACCTCTCCAGCCAGCAACCTCTACCTAACCAACATGGAGCAGGTCTAGCAATTCCTCCTTGGCCTTCCCAGCCTACTAATGGATTGTTTGGGGGAGAGGAGTAGGCTAATCCTGAACTTTCCAAAACCTCTCTCTTCAGTGGTGGGCCCATGTTGATTGGGTGGAATCTTGGCCACTGGCTGGGCTGTCTCTCTTGCCCCACCCTCCCCTGAGGTTTCAAGAGGCTTCTCTGCCTTCTTGCATGGGACCCAGGAGCCCAGTTGCTGCTGGTTTCCTCCTCTGGCCTGTTCCCAGGTGCAGCCCGCTACCTGAGCCCCACCTCCCATCTGAGGTATGTGGTGGGCCAGTCAGGCTCTGAGGCTGCTGGTGGTGCATTTTCAGGTGTGGCCTCGTCCTTGCTCCTTCCCTACAGCCTCTTGTTGGGCTGCCTGTCTCAGTGGTGCCTGGGGAAGGCTGTTCCTTGCTTAAGTCTTCTCTGGAGTAGGTTAAGTGTGAGGATGCCCCCTTCTCCAGATAAGTAGCCTGTATTAAATAAACAGTAGGGGTTCATACTTTCTTTGATCCTTCTGTGGTTTTGTTGTTTGTTTTGTTTGGTACTGTCATTTTTCCCCTAAGATGATACTGCTTGTAGGGGTATTATTTATTTCGGATATTTCTATGGCAACTCTTCAGAGTCCTGCTTGATGTGGCTTACAATGTAGCAATATAAAAACAGGCCATTAGAGTTGCATGGGTACCTGGATGAAGAGGACTCAAAGAGCCTATTTAAGGAACTGGTCCATATTTTTCTTCTTAACATTAACAGTTAGAAAAATATTCCAGAGCAACAATCCATCATAAAGAAAAAGTATAAACAGTCTATCTGAAATGAATAGAACAACGTGGTGTTACAAAATCAGAAATATCTGGTCTTGAGGGCAAGTGTACAAATATAACTTCAAACAACAAAGAGAACAAAGTTCTCTTGGTGAACTTTTGCTAAATTGGAATAAAACCTTCCTTTTTGCTGTTTTTACCATACCTATACATTCCAGAATTCACAACTCATATATCAGCCTGAGCTGTTATATCTGTCAAGAGTGTGTGTTCATGTTGTGTTCCACTGGGAAACTTGTATAGGACTTGGATAATACTACATGACCCTTCAGTCATGCTGAGGGGCTGCTGAGTAGTCTGGCCGGTTTTCCTGTAGTTCCCTCTTTTTTCTATAGCTGAGTCCTGGTTTGTGGAAGTTTAGTGACCACTGCAGGCCCAGGCACAGGGTCAATATGAACACATGAAGTTGCTTTACACGTAATCAAACCATTAGTCCTTCAATGTTGTGTTCTGTACTCAGATTAGCATTAGCTCTCCAGGATCTCAGGCAGAGATCTTTCATGTCAGTTACTACCTGGATACCTGATCCTTTATACTGGAGATGGGTAAGGATCAAACTTGGGACTTTCTGCATGTAAAGCAGATGATCTACCATTGAACCACAGCCCATTCCTAATGTATGGAAAGTGGAAGGAAAGTTAGAATGTCAAAGGGATGGAACCAGATGCAAAACATATCAAATAGAAAACACCATAAATCCAATCTTTGGTAAGATTCTTAATCTAGAAGCATTTGTTCACGTGACCTGTCACAATGTGGAATCACCTGCAGTCTGTTTTCTTCAGGGCAAGAACAAATAGCATCCTATTTCTTTTACATAGCCATCTTCGAAGGCAAAGGAGCATCTAAGTTAGGGGTGTCAAACAAGGCCCGTGGGCCGGATCCGACCCGCCTAGGGCTCTTATGCGGCTCGCAAGCAACTGATGCAAGGGATGAAGTGGGGGGATGGGTGGAGCCACTCCATTGTGGCTTCAGCATGGCAGAACAACCTCGTCTGCAGCAGTCAAGCATCATGGGAGCATCTGCCCACACTGGCTGTACTGCTACCTCTCCAGTCTGCCTATGTGGGTTTTCCTCTGCACCCTCCTCCCAGCCCATGGGGCCTTGCAGTGAGGATACACCAACTCAGAGCTTACCAGCTGCTGTCCTTTATACAGTTTCTATCTCCGGTACCTGGCATTATGTTTTATGGCATACGTGGTCCAGCCCAACAGAGTCACATTTATGTCAAATCCAGCCCTCGTAACAAATTAGCTTGACACCTCTGATCTAAGTAATGCCAGTCACTGCACATACAAAAATTGAAGGCAGAAAAGGAATGATGCATGGTAACCAAGGAATGCACTGTGATCTTATTGAACTGAAGATGTTTTTCACTATGTCTGGTCACCTATGATAACTAAATGCAAGGAAATAAATAATTGTGTAAGACTTCATAGTTGGATCCTCTTCAACTTCATTTTACAAAGCTGAAAGCTGAATGTGTGATAAATGTAGTATGTGCTTTTTGTCTGTCTAGGATAGTGGCGATTACCCACTCACCATGCCTGGGCCACAGTGGAAAAAATTTCGATCAAACTTTTGTGAATTCATAGGCGTTCTAATACGACAGTGTCAATACAGCATCATTTATGATGAATATATGATGGACACCGTGATCTCACTTCTGACTGGATTGTCAGATTCGCAGGTCCGGGCTTTCAGGCATACCAGTACACTTGCTGGTAAGTAAATGTGAAATGTATTTAATTCAAACATTTTTATACCACCTTTCTGCCCAACTTAGGGTCCCCAAGGTAGCAAACACATAGACAGGAAGGAGGTTCATTGAGGGAATGCCAAATGAAACAGAAAAATCTTAATTGCTGGCAGTGATCAAGGGTGACTGACAAATCTCCTCGGGGAGAGAATTCCATAATTTTGGTTCTATGACTGAGAAGGCCCTTTCCTGGGTTCCCACCCATCTAATCTTAGATGGTGAGGGCACCCAAAAAAGGGCCATTGAAGACGTCTGGCTTTCAAAATTATTCAGCTTCACTGTTTTTTAATACATTGAGATTAGTCTATATGAACAATTTCTTCATTTAAGATAGATGTCTTGTATGCTTTTGCAATAATAAAGTACTGGGCAGGGGTTAGGCTTTTGCAATAATAAAGTACTGGGCAGGGGATATGCTTTCCCCTCACTTCCGTGATGTCCTCCATTGAAGCCCTTTTATTTTCTTCTGTAAGAGTCCTGTAGAAGTTCAAATTGAATGTAGGGGAAACACTGTTGACCAGATCAAAAAGTGTTTGGGAAACATGGAAATGAAGGACACTTTAAATTTCAGCTGATTTCAGGTATTAAATACCTGAAATCTTTCTTTTATATTTTTCCCAGCTATGAAGCTTATGACTGCTCTTGTGAATGTTGCCTTAAACCTGAGTATTCATCAGGATAATACACAGAGGCAGTATGAAGCTGAGAGGAACAAAATGATTGGTAAAAGAGCCAATGAAAGACTGGAGCTGCTCCTTCAGAAACGGAAAGAGGTCAGTAGGTTAAAGTTGCCTCCTTGTTATGCAGTATGCTTTATAAAAATAGCAGAAGAATATTGATTACATAAAACTGATTCTATTTTAAAGAAAGAGGCACATAATCTTACTGAAGAAGATTCAGTTGAGTATCTGACAAACTTACAGTAATGTGGTGTGCCTACAACTCTTGCCAACAGTGCACAGAAACAGCAAATATGGGACAGGATTGTTATGTGAATTTTGAATGCAATCTGTTTATTTAGTAGGGAAAAAACATTTGAATGAATTCTTGAATACTTGCTGTGTCTCACATAGTATGAGTTAGAAGCTGTACTCCATTTTTTTATACAGTGAAAAAGAACATAAAATGTTTAGGCAGGGAAAGTCATGCACAGAATTTCCCAAAGGCACATATTGTATATCTTCTTGTTTTCTAATTTGTAAGTAACTGAGATTTGTTAGGACTGAGCATATACATTAATCACTCTGAATAGGCAAAGGTAACACTCTTTTATTGTTGGCTCAACATTACTGGAGCAACCCTGTTCTTCATTTTTTGGTTATTGCTTAAAGGGGTAATACATTAGCTGCTGAAATCTTCCATCAGACATTACTAACATTGAAAGTCCTAGAAATCTACTGCATAACAATAGCTAGAAATTTGCTTGAAACCTCAGCAATTTCAACTTCAAATTACGCATTTTGAACTAGACTGTCCAGTGAAAAAGTATCAGCATTGCCGATTACTTAAGAAAACACTGAACTGGGTGTAATATTTCTATGCTGACATCAGTTCCCCTGGCTTGATTAATTGATGAAGCTGGTCTTGGTAATTTTAGATCTGTGGCTCCTAAACCGTGTTGTATTGTAGTTTCCCTTTCCAGAGCACCAAAATTTCTTATCTTACAGCCATCATGCAGAAATATATTTAAAACCATGCTACTGCATTTGACTGTGTAGCTGTAGATACCTGTTTAAATATGGTTCTAAACTAATAAACTGGTCGCCCTTTCAGCATAAAATTAAAATTTCAAACCTTTAGCACTTCTGCTATTACTTTCATTGTGGTCTTAGATGACTTGAGAGTGCCCTGGGGGATGCTGTTTGAAAATCACTTTTAGGTGAATGAACAGTAGTAAGTTCTTGAATTGAGACAATTTAGAAACTAAATCAACAACTTGTATTTTCCCTCAAAAAAGCTTTCCCAAACCCCACCTACATTCTAATAGTTTCACATCTTGTTTATATTGGCAGATTGAAAAGTTGCAGAGGTCCTTTAACTTGATTCCTTCAATACTTACATCTAAAGGAATTGACTCTCCAAGCTTTAAAATTATTCAGTTTATTTCTGGTCACCATTGGGATCTTGCCAGTAGAAGGATATGTATCTGTAACTGACTTGGATTTAATAAGATTCGATAACATACAATAAGTCCTAAGAAGAGCTGATACGTTAATCCATCTTTAAATTAAAATTTAATATGTTAAATGAGCAAATTGCCAGTCTCCAAGGGCATATGATGTTGAATAAACCCAAATTATCTGTAGTACTGATAAACAAAAAGCTACTATATGGTGAAGTTTTGGCTAAAAGTTTACTACTTTTTTGAATAATCAAAGAATAACTTGGTATGATTTGAGTAATTGCAGCATATGTTTTTGATGTGAAATCAGTGTGTAGCAACTACATTTTTAATAAAATGGGCTGACCTTGTGATGTCAAAATGTAATGTTTACTATGAAAATATATAACTTAGATGTGGTTTTAGAAAAGAAAATCGCAAACTTAACTGAAACATATTTAAGAGAAGAGTATCTGAGAATATGACACTGAAAATTATCAAAATGTCAACAGTATTTCAGGCTTTAATTTTTATTACAGTTACAAGAAAATCAAGATGAAATTGAAAATATGATGAATTCTATTTTCAAGGGTATATTTGTCCATAGATATCGGTAAGTGAAAGAAAGGCATGATCATATCTGAGTAATGATCTTCTGCTTAATCATTTAAAATGACAGAATTATTTCTCATGAATAGCAAACATTCCTGCCAAGTTTAGCATCGTTATAATTTTTTCTTTAATGTGTGTTGCACAGTATCAGTTGTTTTTTAAAATGTTATATAGATGCTACTTTAAATGACCTTATAAGTAAAGCAAAATATTTGAGGTAGAAAAATCAGGCATACAGATTTCAGTAGGATATTTGGTTAGTCTTTAAAGGGCCAAGACTCCTCTTTTGTTTTTGCTTGAACAGACTGACAAATTTATTGTAGTATTAGCTTTCATGGATTTCAATAGATTTCATAATCGTAATCTCTGTGAAAAAGCCTGAAGCTCTTTAATCATATGCACCTTTAATGAAGCAGTATTCAGTCAGACAAACCTCTTCCAGAGCAATTAACAGAACAGTTGAAAAGAAAGTTGTCAAAATGCTAACAAACATTAGACCAGCCTAAGCACTAATAATGAGAGTGTTATAGAAATGCTTGTTGAACTGAAGGAAATTATGGTGTGTGCATTTTCAGTGTGTTAATTCAGTGGTACTCACTCCGTAGCTTTTGGAGAGCCACATTCAGAATCACTACCAGCTGAAGGAGCCATGCTCAGAGTTAGTTACCTGTATAATTTGAGCTTGTCACACAACTCTTGGGAGGCTGTGGGAGTCAAAAGATTACCCCCCCCCCAAAAAAAAAGCTGAAATCCTGAGTAAGCCCATTGAATAAAATGGCACTTACTTGCGAGGAAGATTGCCCTTGAAGAATTGTGCATTAGGGTCAACACAATCTAAAAATATGACACTCTAGTTTCTGGCCCAGAAGCTTTCAACCCTAGACCACAATCTACCACCAAATTATGAACCACGATCGACCAAGAATATCTATAATTCATTGTTGAATTGTGGCCCTGGTTTTGGATTAATGAAGACTAGCTGGGGACTCTTAATTAGGAGAAGCCTCTCTGAATATGCTCAGAAACACTAGTATTGCCAGTCTGGGCAGTTTGCTGTCATATTGTCATTTGATTTTGTATTTGTAGGCTTATTGCATTTTTGTTTATTGTATTTCTTAAACTGTGTGATCACATTGTTGGTTTCATTGTTCAATTTTGTATTCTTAGTCCAGTTGCATTATTGATTCAATACCCTATATTGTATGATTACATTTTTCCTCTTTTATTTCTCTGTACTCTGTAATCTACCTTGAGTGTCAATGAGAAAGGTGGGCTATAAGATAAATAAAATTTATAAACCCTGCATTAGCAACAAGTCTGACACAAATGAAGCCCTGACTTATTGGTACATACTATATGAACACTGTGGAGAAATGGCCTTTACGTCAGGAATACAAACCAATATTGTGAGGGTTTGCAGCTTGCAAATAGTCACACTTGGTTTTTAAAAAAATTATTTCTTTTTGGCAGATGACAGGTGGGAAGGGGGATGTCAGATTGCTCCCAAGTATTGGTCATCCTGTCAACTGCTTTGTTGGATCCAGCCATCAAAGCTTTATAATTGCAAATGGCTGTCTCAGCTGAAGATAATGGGATGGCCAGTTTACACCTTAGCTGGAATGTGATCAAAGGAGAAAAAAAATAACTTGGCATGGAGGGAGTCGGGTCCATTTTGGCAGATTTTGTCTGGAGGAAGGACTTCTCACACCTGAGCAACAGCATCTTAATGGCTGCCATCGCCACATGGAGCTAACAAAGGGCTGGCAGCTCCAGACAAAGATGCCAAGTTAATGAGAAACTTTTAGAGCCACACTGTAACTTGGGGGGGGGGGGCTTTCAGCGCTGTAACTTTTAAATTTAAAGAGCCTGCCTTAAAATAAGACCAACTAGGGCATGTATAAGGCTGAGGGTCAGAGAGCTGCATGTCCTTTGACAGGGTACAAGCAGCCATCAGGATCTTGCAGTCAATCTATTTTGCCCCCAAGCAGCAAGAAGACAACTGTTTGTGGTGGAGTTCAGCAAGATAGGTCTGTAGAATGTTCAAAGTGAATTTCACTATTTGAGGCTTCAGTCCCCTGCTAGCAACAAGCACTATTGAGTTAGCCCAGGGAAGGGGCAAGAAGGAATGGTGTACATCAGGAGCAGGAAACTCCCCCTACTGTGCATGTGTGTCTACACATGTTTGGAGCAGGAGCAGGAGCACCTGCTGAAAAAGAAAAGTTCCACAAGCATAAGGAATTACGACAAATGCCATTTGCCAGCCAGTATTGCTGGACATATACTACCACTTCCTTGACTTGCTTGTCATCAGTTCATATATGCTGCTGTTTCTGTTTTCTCCCACTTCATTATGTCTTCTCCCATCTCCCAAAGTTTCAGAAAAGCCATAGGTGGCAAGTGAAAGAGCCATATGCAGCTCCTGAGCCAGTGTGTGTGTATCACAGTGTTAATTTTTTCTGCAAGCAAGAAAAAAACCAATTGCAGTTATTAAGTGAGAGAGGATGGTACTCCGGGACATTGAATCTAGAGCATGCCCTTTTTCTGACTGGACTATGAAGTACTTGTAGTCTGTGTTGCCTTGGATTGAAATTTCAGATTGAAGAATGGATGCCTGTTGGACTGTAAATCTATGGGGGGGGGGGGCGGATGTGAAAGGCCCATGCAGAATGAATGCTTTGACTCTCTTAACTGTGATGATGAGACCAGAAATGGATTGCAGGATTATTCAGAGCAGATTAAAGTGGTTAAAGTGGGAGGAACCATGTCTAGTGTTATTGCTGACACATCACTTCATCCCTTTCCAAATTTCTAAATGATGGTTGAGAGAATCCTGCTTAATGTTTATAAATTCAACAGGACTGAGTACTAAAACTCCACATTGATTTTAGCATAGAACCGATTTATCTAAAGCAGTAGTGGGGGTCTGTAAACTAGTCAGGATTTTTGCTATGCGTTCAGAGTTGGATAAGAATTGTTATGGAGACAAAGGTAATCAGCATGAGCCTCAGTCATTGTGTGCTAAAGAACAGACCTCTGAAAAAGGTTGTGGGTGGGTTTTGCTGCTTCACCTTTTCTGTTAACCAAGGCAACATGAATTCTCGATTGGAACAAAACAGTAATTGCATTGGTTGTCAGTTAAAGTTTTTGACCCAAGTGTGACAGCCAGGGTTGGGAGGAAATGATTGAGGTGCTGGGTAGAGCAAGATGTGGGGACAGGTTCACTTCTAAACCTTTCCTCCTGTTTTTCCAAGCAAACCATCCTCTCCAGGCCCTGAAAAGCATTTTGGAATATTACAGAAAGACCCAGCTTCCAGGAACATGCAGATCCCCCCCCCTTTAAAAGACACAGGAGCCTATTAAAACAAATGAGAGTGACAAGAACAACATTCTGTGGCACCATATTATTTTCTGCCCAGTATTGTCCTGAAAGGTGCTGAGCCCCACCAGTGACCCCCATGTTGTACAGAGTGGTGATTCTTTGTGGTTTTGGTGCAAGCACACTAATGTGATTTTGTGGCTGCACAGGCCCTTTGAAACAGTTGTGGTGGCCAGATCAATCTCCCAAGATAACACCAATGTGTGTGCCTAGAGGGGCAGAGCCACCCTGTCACATTCAGTTCTTCTTTTTTTTAATACTTTATTTATTCAGTTTCACTAAACAGCCAAAAGCACTTTTATGTAAACATTATCATATCTTTGGAGTCTTACATACAATGTGTTTATCCCACCAATTATATACTCTTATTCACCTTCTTTGGAACATTGTCTGGTCTTTACCACGTAATAACACAGTCAGTTTGTCCAATTCGGCTTTTTCCAGCAATTTCTTTACTATATCTAATCTAGAGGGTAATTTATCTGATTTCCAACATCGGGCTACCATAATACTTGATGAAGTTAAAATATATGTTAATAAGTATCTGTCTTCTCTATCCAGGTTGTCTGGAATAATATTTAACAAGTATATTTCTGGTACAAATCCACATTAATATTAATCATTTCTAATATTATCTGTTTTATAATTTTCCAAAACTTTTGCATCCTACAACATTTCCACCACATGTGAAAAAACATTCCTATATTATTCTTACATTTCCAGCAATTCTTTGAAGTTTGGGGTGCATATTTCCCAATTTTATCTGGCGACCAATACCATCTATGAAACATCTTATATAAATTTTCTTTATATGCTGTTGAACTGAGATATCTCATAGTCTTCCATATTTGAACCAGTCATCAATGTCTATGGTGTAGCCCATATCTTTCATCCATGCTACCATTGAGGGTTTAACCATCTCATCTTGCAAATATCATTCTATCAGAAAGGTATAGACTTTTTGTATTATCACTGGTTGACAACCATATTTTATCTAGTTCATTGTTTCCCGTATAGAATCCCGTAGTTTTATCTTTACTGTATATAGATTTTAATTGTGTACTTTCCCACCATGTTAAATGCTTCATTACTATGTCCAAATTTTTAATCTTGTCTTTTTTATCTAATATATTTTCATATGTTTCTATCTTGTCTTTAGTCAGAAGGGTTGGTTTTATAAATGCTTCAAGTGGAGGGACCCACCGTGGTATTTTCTTATAATATTTTTCTTTCAGATTCCGCCAATATTTTATCAGAGACCCCCTAATTATGTGTTGATGGAAATTTGCATGAACTTTACCTTTGTCATACCAAATATAGGCATGCCAACCCATTTTGAGGTCATGTCCTTCTAGATTTAAAGTTCTTCTATCTTCAAATTTTATCCAGTTTTTAATCCAGGTTAAAGCCACAGCTTGATAATAAAATTCCCAGTTTGGAAGTCCCATACCCCCTCTTTCTTTTTTCCCCCTTGTAAATATTTCCATCTAATTCTTGGTTTTTTTGGGGACATTCAGTTCTATATGACTGTTGTAGCTGTATCAGTGAGTGCTACCTCATCAATTGGAGAAGTATCATAAAAAAAACCCACATTATTTCTTTCCACTGTTTCTTCTCTCCAGTCTTTCAGATTCCTTGGAGGAGAGCAGGTCTTTTTACTTGCCCCTGACTGTCAGTCTGCATATTAGCAATGTTCATTTAAAAGTTCTTGATGTTTGCCAGCTAGGGTAGCCCCAATATCCAGGGAAGGATCCTAAGGCACACATTGCTAGTGCTTCACTAAGTAGGCTTTCTGCAACCACGCCATTCATCTCAGAGCTATCTTGAGATAATATATTTTGTGGGTATCAGATTAAATGGCCCAGGTACTAGCTAAACCCATCTACTCAGTCTCAAAATTACCGTTGGCCCTACTTACATTTAACCTTCTGATGCTATAGCTTCATTTCTCTAGAGCTGAGCTAAAATCTCAGAGCTTCAAAATCCAAGTATTGGCATCATACTTCAGAACTGAAGGGAGAAGGCAAAGCAACACCGACCTATGTGCACGCTTTCCCTCTACAGCTTTCTACCAGTCATGTCTTTGGGATCACACAATGCCTTTCCAACATCTCTGGAGCCTCTTTCTGCAGCTACAGTTTTTGCTCTTCTACCAGTACCAATCAGTACCTTTGGATTCCTCTCTTCATCCAGTTCTTGACACTATGCACAGAGCATTTCTGATCTTGGGGACAACATCACTACGATATAGCTTCTCCCCCTGTGTTAGGTTCATTGAAACAATTTATAAATGGGTAGGTTGCTTACCAAAAATAAGCAGCATTGTGGCACTATTAGCATACGTTTTTATGGACTAGATCTCATTTATTCAGATATAGTGAGTAGATCTCCACTATGTGATCTTTAAGCAATCATATGTGTAGTGGTTAGATATATTCCATCTGAATATATATACCTGAAAATAACTCACTGGTATTTTTTGGATATATTTGGGATCTGGATTGATATTTGGGGATCGCAGCAATACTGGTATCCCAGTTCGAAAGCAAGAAATTGCAAGTAGATAAATAGGTACCACTTTGGTGGGAAGGTAACACCGTTCCGTGTGCCTTGGTGTTTAGTCATGCCGGCCACATGACCATGGGGTGCTTTTTGCAGATTTCCCAGGCAACGGGAGGGAGGGAGGAGAGAGGGAGACAGCTCTCACAGGCAAATGGGACCATACATTAGGTGAGCTTGCCAGGTTGGTTCTGCTGGGATTCTCTTGTTTGACATTGGTTCTGTTGGGCTTACAGTGCCACATTGGTGCTGGGTTATGCTTGGCTTCTCTGTTGGTTCTGTCAGGCTGGACTCCCTTCCCTTGCTTCAGTTGGTTTGGCTTGGATTCTCTGGTTTAACATTAGCTGTTTTGAGCTTGCCACAGTGGCCTGTAGTTCTGCTGTGATTCTCTGGTTTTACATGGATTCTGTTAGGCTTGTTGGTTTTGTTTACATTGGGAGGCATTGGGCCAGTGGTTGCTTGCTCTTGTGTGTTTGGTTATTCTTTGCCCTGGAGAAAGCATGGGATTTTTTTCCCCTTAGGGAACTATGAAGGGCAGCTGAAGACTCGTTGTTCAGGGGCCCACATTCACACGAAACCTGTGGGATTTCTAGTGGAGAGGCAGCACAAACTCTGCTGGGATTCTGGTGTCATTTGTTTGCAAAACAGCCACTCTAGCACCCTAGAATAATGGATCAGAACTCTGGGGAAAAAACTGATTTTGAATTCTAAACCAATATTGGAGAATAATACAGAATACAAATAATTATGCCCTCCCCATAATCCAAATTAAAAAATGCTGACTTTTTTTCTGGTGCACATCCCTAATAGTCCCAACAACCCAGCCTTCTTCCCCACAACAGTTTTAAGTTCTGGCCTGTTGCATCACTTTAGGAAAGAACCAAGTCGATGACATTACATCACCCCCTAGGCATACACATAGAGAGTCAGTTTGGTGTAGTGGTTAGGAGCACAGACTCTAATCTGGGAGAACCAGGTTTGATTCCCCACTCCTCCACATGCAGCTGCTGATGTGACCTTGGGTCAGTCATAACTTCTTTCAGAGCTGTTCTCTCAAGAGCAGTTCTCTCAAGAGCTCTCTCAGCCCTACCTACCTAACAGGGTGTCTGTTGTGGGGAGGGAAAGGGAAAGGAGATTGTAAGACACTTTGAGACTCATTTGGGTAGCAAAGGGGGAGGTATAAATCCAATCTCTTTTTTTTAAGACCCCCGAAGGGGATTTTTTTATTTTTTACAATACTACATAAACTACAAAGAAAAGAAGGGAAGGGGAGCTACAACTAAGGAGAAAGAAAAGTAACCCACACTAAACTAAAAACCCAAGAGTAGGAGATCATTACCCTGTTAGACTGCAGTTAGTAATGGGGGGGGGGGAACTGTTAATAAACAATATACTTTGTGAGATCCTGTCTTTCTAAGCTTATGTGTTAGTTTATTACTTGTTATGAGAAGATTTCCAGAGCATCTCCTCCAGCTCTCTTCGTAAGGGCAATTTTCAGAGTCCTTCCACCTTTACATCTATGCTAATTCTCTCTAAAGTCTTGATGGCTGTCTTAGACGTTCACTCGAAATTCTGCAACCCTCCTCCGTCTCCAAAGGGATAACACCGCCAATCTTAAGCCTCTTCCTTCTTGGTCTCATCCTCGGGGCCCAGTGGCATCTCACAGGCTTCTTGATCTTGAGGTCAGGTTCAAGCTCTTTTCTATCAGCTGAATTTAAGACGACACTTTCTAAAAACATCTGCCGGGAAGGAGTTAAGTCCTTGTAAATCTTTTCTGTTTCTCTCATGCTTTCTCTCCTTATCTCTTTGAGATCGCTGTTAGTTTTAGTGTCCATCTCTTTTGCTTTGACAGCCCTCTGTTCCATCTTTTCTGCTATTGTTGCCAACTGTAGCTGTCGGGACACGAGTTGTTGATTTATCTTGGCAAACTGATGGTTAATACCAACAAGTTGCTCAAGAATCGGCTTGGTGGCTTCTGCTATGAGTTCCATCTGAATATATACCTGAAAATAACTCACTGGTATTTTTTTATATATATTTGGGATCTGGATTGATATTTGGGGATCCCAGCAATACTGGTATCCCAATTCTGAATATTCCCAGAAGTATTCAGGAATATCCAGGGTCAGTGTTTTAAAGTTCCAAACTTGGGGGTGCTTTTTGCAGATTTCCCAGGCAACGGGAGGGAGGGAGGAGAGAGGGAGACAGCTCTCACAGGCAAATGTGACCATACATTAGGTGAGCTTGCCAGGTTGGTTCTGCTGGGATTCTCTTGTTTGACATTGGTTCTGTTGGGCTTACAGTGCCACATTGGTGCTGGGTTATGTTTGGCTTCTCTGTTGGTTCTGTCAGGCTGGACTCCCTTCCCTTACTGTTCTGGTGGGCTTTCTAACCAACTGAAGCTCAGACTCCCAAGACAAAAGAGACCTTCAGAAATATCACTCAGTCATCTTAAGATTGTAGCTATTGAAGTCTAGAATTCCTTCTGCTATGGAACACATCCCCTATTACAGTGCCTGTCTGCAGACCACCCAATGTTTAAGTGGTATCCAGGCATTCTCTCCACAGTTCTGTTGTCCTCAGTACAGCACTTTATATTTCCCCATAGGAATGAATGGTAACTATTCATATATATGTGTAAGACAATAAAGGAGTCCAGTTGAGAACATCATTCAGTTGGGGATAAACCCGAATCATCAAGCCTTGTCATGTCTGCATAGTTTCATTGTGGGTTCTGTTCCTGGGTTCTCAAGAATAAACATAACACAGAATATTGGGAACTGGCCTTTTATTACATGTATGCATTCACCCATGCACTGAAATGAAGCAAGCCGGTTAACTGAATTCTCCCTTTTTTCACAGTGATGCTATAGCAGAGATTAGAGCTGTTTGTATTGAAGAAATCGGAGTATGGATGAAAATGTACAGTGATGCCTTCCTGAATGATAGTTATTTAAAGTATGTTGGTTGGACACTTCATGATAGAGTAAGTGTGGCCTGCAGTAAAATAGATTTTCCTGTCAAAATATGCCCTTTTCCTGTATTTATCTTCTTGGTGTTTATATTATACATAATTACATCATAATTATTTTAGTTCATTTATGTGCAATATTATTAATAAGCTTCTGTCTTCCCCTATTTTCTTCACTTCTTGAACAAAGCGTGGAGCATTATACAGTCTGTTGTGCAGATGTTACTTTAAATGGCATTTGAGGGAAAAGTTTCTAGCACGAGTATCTTCATTTGTAATTTTAAGAAACATGTAAGTGGAGGGTTTTTATCTTTCAGATTATATCCTGTGTTTTCATTACACTAATTTGCAAGGAGCAATTCTCAGAATCATAAAGTAATTATAATTATACATAAACATAGCTTGTTACAGAAATATGAGTACGTTCAGATTTAAGAATATATAGTTAGTCTCGATCCTGTTTGAAGTTTGATTTCAATCTTGTTTGAAGTTTCCTATGCTTTAATGTGATCCTTTGTTTCTGGCACTATGGCAGCAAAGCAGAATAATGGAGTACTACTAAGAAAGTCTTTTGTTAGTACTTACTTTGATGCACATTCAGACAGTTACTCTGCAGTGCTCTGATAGCCACAGTTATTGTTCTTTGGATAATAATCCTAGTCTGATAACATGAGACTCTTATACCATGTTAGACATGGGGTTCTTTAAAATTTAATAACAAGATGTGCCAGTGGGCCGCTCTAGACCTGAATATCAGATTGGAGGCCCACCCTCATTTCTTCTCACAAACGCATATCACATAGTGCTCAGAGTACCTCTGGCTGTGCTGTTCACTGAGGGTGGTAGTAAAAGTGTTGCTGTTGTTGCTGTTGTCACCAGGTTAAGGGTAGGGTACGTGATAGGGCCCACAAATGATCCCCTTTTGATTCATTTTAATTAAGCATTGGAAGCAATAAAAGACATTAATGAAGTTGCCTAACACCAATCTGTAGTTGATTGTTTCTTACCCTGGTTGCCATGAAGCTGAAAACGTATGCTTTTGCCACTGCTGATGGAGAACCATTGTGATGTAGTGGTTAGAGGTTCAGCGAGGACTTAGTTTCAGATCGAGACTTCCATGAAGCTTGCTGGATGATTTTAGGCCAGTTACTGTGTCTCAGCCTAATTTATTATATGAGTGTGAGATTAAAAGGGAGAAGCAGAGAACCATATATTTTGTCCTGAGCTCTCTGGAGAAAGGATAGAATTAAAATGTATAGTAAGATGTTTCTCGTGTTCCTGTCCATTAATAGAAAGGGATGACTATGGCAGAGCATTTTGTCAGTAGGCTGGCTTCAACAGGCCAGGTTTTGTCTATAGACCTGCATATGCCTTTTCTGATTTTAAAAATGAACAGGTTCTGATGAAAGTGTAGAAGACCTTGAAACTGAGGGGTGGGGGAGAGTATTCTGAGTTGTAGCCGTAATTTTAAAAAACAACAACCTGAATAGCAGTTCATTTTAAGAATGAACATAAAGCTTTGCATTTTCTATCTCAATCAATTTTGGCATTTCTACTTGGAGAACTTGTTTAATAAAACAGAGAGAGGAAAGTAATTCTAACCAATTATTGAAGCCAGTAATAGTGTAGTTAATGAAGGAAGCAGTGGAATAGGATGGCTCAACTTGCTTGAAAAATGTTTGTAACTGTCAAGCCATTTAAATGACATTCCTTGGCAGTTCAAAATAAGAGCATCCCATTTCCCACTATTTGTCACACACAGCAATATGCTGTGATAGGAAGCTTGGGAAGCAGAACTTGAGAGGAGAGAAGAATGGCAGCTGTCTGTTCTAGGAATTTGAGCCAAGTTGTGAGAGGGGAAGAACAAGCAGTTGGCTGACCAGGGATGTAGTGGGAGAGAGAAGCAGCTGAGAAGTGGTGGCTTTGGTGGCTTTCATGACTGTTGGTCTAAAGATTTTATGCAAGTGTTATGTGTTGATTTTTACCTCAGAAGTTGTAAAAAATTTTAGTAAACCTGGACCACTTCAGATTTCATGTACTCCTCAGGGTACATGGGGAGCGGTTGTGCCCCACTGGTTCATTTCTTGTTCTCACTTCCTATTTTACTAATTAAGCTGATTATTGATATATGATCAGCTCCCAGTGGGATGAATGGGAAAATGAAACACTACATACCCAGGCTTATAATTCTTATTGACCTTCAAAGACACTGTGGAAGTCTGTCACTGTAATATGCTATTTTCTGAATGTAAAGGGGAAAAAATCACTAGAAATATTGTGGAGGGAGGGTCAGTCAGACTCCGTCAACAAATTTTGTTATCAGCCCATAAATCTTGGGCATTTTTATAGATCCATAGGAACATTCTCCTAGGTTTATGGGCCATCTTGGTGTGATTAATTTTATATAATTGTAAGGTAAAGGTAAAGGTTTCCCTTGCTTGAAAGCTTGTCGAATCCAACTCTAGGCTTCCAAGCCGAAGAGCCAATGCTGTCCAAAGACTTTTCCGTGGTCATGTGGCCGGCATTATTAAATGTAGAACATTTTTATTGTTTTATCTGTGTTTAATTATTGTAAGCTGCCCTGAGCCCTGCATGCAGGGAAGGGCGGGATAGAAATCAAATAAATAAATAAAGAAAGAAGGGTGAGGTTTGGGGAGAGACGTGACCTCAGGAGGGTACAATGCCATCAACTCCCCCCTCCAAAGCAGCCATTTTCTCCAGGGATCTGGAGATCAGTTGTAATTCTGGGTGATCTCTCGCCCTCACCTGGAGGCTGAAAATTCTGATTCCCCTAGAGGGTGGAGTCTATAGCATTATACCTGTCTGAGGTCCCACCCCTCCTCAAACCACACCCTCCCCAGGCTCCACCCCTCAAATCTCCAGGAATTTCCCAACAGAGTTGACAACCCTATCTCCTTCCCACCCAACAGCCAACTTACCTTTATCTACCCCCTGTCTTCAGTTTTCCATCTCCTTTCCCCTTGTAGCCTCTACAGAGGAAAACCATAGTTTTCCTCCACAGTGGGGACCAAAGCAGCTAACATTATTCTATCCTTTTATGTGCACAACAACCCTGTGAGGTAGGTTAGGCTGAAAGTATGTGACTGGTCCAAAATCACTCAGTGAACTTCCACAGCAAGATGGGGATCTAAACCTGGGTCCTGCAGACCCTACTCTGAAGCTCTAACAACTACACTGGCTTTCATAGGGTGGCTGCTGTTGACAGAGTCATGCAAGTCAGGTGGTATCAAGTCACTCAGATGGTATTGCCAGGTCTAGGTTTGCCAACCTCCAGGTGGGATCTGGGGATCCCCCAGAATTACAACTGAACTCCAGACAACAGAGATCTGTGCCCCTGAAGAAAATTACTGCTTTGGAGGGTAGACTCTGTGGCATTACACCATGCTGAGGCCTCTCCCCTCCCCAAACTCTGCCTTCCTCAGACTTTACCACAGAATCTCCAGAAATGTCCCAACCTGGAACAGGCAACCCTAGGCCAGGCCTGGCTCCAAGGAGTCCAAGGAGCCCTCAAAGTCCAAAAAAAGCCCTTGTCCTTTGCCTTTTACTCACAGAAACTGAAGTCTGGAATGCTGTGGTTGCCTAGCAACAGCCACTGAAGGTATCCAGTTTTTAAAAATACAAGCGCTGCTTTTATCATTTTGGGTTTTAACACATCAGATTATTATTTTTTATTTCTCATTTTTCTCCAAACCTTGGGGCCCTTTTGAGGTTTGTGGAAAGATCTGTCTTGCCTGTTCACAGCTCCAGTCACCAGACTGAAGTATCCAAAGATTTGGCTGACTTCACTGTTAGAATATAAGATGATAATTCCACATTTCTGAAAGGATCCCCGTATTGGAATAAGACTGAATGGCTGCATAAGGGCATTCTCCTGCTATCGCAGCACCGTTCATTCTAATATTCAAGACGAATATCATCTAGTATTTAAAAAGTCTGACATTTGGCTGCATTTATGAGATTAAAATTTTGCCAGTTTCAGATATTTGCTGGTATGATTCTAATCAGAGAGTCTCTTGTAGATCTTTCTTTCCCAATTCTTCATTCAATAGTTGCATTTGATTATTTCTAATTATGCTGATTCTAAGCCCTTTGTGCTACATTACATGTATCTCTAGGTGAAGTTTTTTCATGCCTTCTTCTCATACAGACATCCGGTACTCTAGAAATGAAACCTTGTGTCGTTTACGGTGGTAGATCATAGAGCTGTGGTCCATCATAGGGAACTGTGGACTTTCAATGAAATGGTTTTCTTGGCATTGGCATCTGGTATGGGTACTATGGAATAAACTTCCCAGAGATACTTGCCAATTCCCCTTTCTGTTTTTCATTTCCATGGAGAAAGAAGGCTTTTATCTTTTAGAGTGTTTTTAGTTTAGGCTTTGATTAATTTTCTCTGAATCCTGATTTTAGTGTTTGGTTTCTTGCTGCTCTTCTGTTTTTATAAATTTATTTGTATGTATTTTAATCATGATTTAAAACTTGTAAGTCATTCTAAACATTTGATGGAATGACAGCTAATCCATGAGTAAAATAAGACATTTTGCATATCAAATAAGTTTGATAATTTCCTTCTACTTATTATTTGAAAGGAGTAGCTATATCTCTGGTACCTTTGTGCAGTATTACTTTTTAATAAATTCTAGTTTATGTTTATTTTATTTAGCAAGGTGAAGTGAGATTGAAGTGTCTAAAAGCTTTGCAGAGTTTGTACACCAACAGAGAGTTGTTTCCCAAGCTGGAGCTATTTACGAATAGATTTAAGGTAGGTATACTTTTTTTAAGACCACATACATCTTAAATTTGCCTTACTTTAATTATTGATTTGGTGTATTTTTATATGCTATGTTTTCTAGAACATGCCATGATGATTTTGCCCTCCCTCGCAATGTCTCCCTTTGTCTTCTTTTTGGCTGTGCAGCCCCTTTTTCCTTCTTTTTTTTTTTTCTTGTTTGAATGTATATTGGTAAAAGCTGACCCAGCCTAGGGAACTGAGAGGAGAGACTAAAATCCTTCTGATGTCCTGGTTTGATAATGGCACATGAGAGGAGGATGGTAGTTCAAAAATAACAAACTGTTCTATTTAACTTTATGGGGAAATGGTCAGGTAGGAATCAGGTATAGGACTTTCAAGGTAAACAGGCAACAAGAATGAGGTAACAAAAGTAGTACTTAGTATATGGCTTTTGAAGGTATTTTTCTGTTGTACTTGCAGTGTTTGGGAAGCAATTCAGTGTCATATGTAATAGAAAGACTTATGTAAATGTTATGGGATGAATCCAGGGACAATTCCAGAGGAAGACTCCTCATTTACCAGTAGGAAGTCCTTTAATCCAACCCCATATAATTTACAATTTCAGCAGTTTCTCCTGGAAACATGTATGATCTCTCTGCTTTTCAGGATCGCATTGTATCAATGACGCTTGATAAGGAATATGATGTTGCTGTAGAAGCCATTCGATTAGTCACACTAATACTTCAGTGAGTATATTTTAAGGTAGTATAACTTATATTTGCCAGCATTATTTTATTCTAGTCAGGGGTCATTTCATAGAAAAAGAGGTGCAGGAGCTCATTAGCATAACTCATTAGCATAACTTATTTGCATATGCCACACCCCCTGACATCACTGGAAGTATGTCAGAAGGCAACACCCACCACTCAGGCTCCACTGGACTGTTTTGGATTACTAGCTATTGGGGGGGGGGAATGTGCAGATCTGCCCTCACAGAGGAGGGAGAGCTTGTACCTGAATAAAACTTGGTCTTAAAAGTGCCACTGGACTGTTTTAGACCTGGGGGGGGGGCTCTGCAACTTACCAGGCTGCTTCTTGCTCTGACTGAGGGCTGCTGGGAGCAGGGGGTGTGGCTTGTTGCATGTGCCCACCCCCTGGGCTCTTTACTGCAGGAGCTCCGCTCCTGTGCGCTCCTGCAGGAAATGACCCCTGATTCTAGTTATCATTCACTTCTATGTGATTCAAGACAAGAAATTACAAAAGCAAATAGCAATGGTTTTTATAAAGCCTTTTCTAAAACAGGTGTGAGATAAATTTCAGCTTGAATGTTTTATCAGAAGTATCCTTGGATGCATCCTTTATTACAAAATGTAAGAGGCAAAACAAAACAATTGCTTTATCTTTTTTTAAAAGAATGCATAAAGACTAGGGATGGGCACAAACCAGGAAAATGGTGGTTCATTGGGGTTCATGGTTTGTTTAATCAAACGAACCACAAACTTTTCTATTTCCTGAACTGGTTCCGGTTCATTCAGTTTCTGAGTTCAGGAGATGTTAGAACAGCCTCATCCAGAAGTAAGCCCCAAAGGTATTTAAATGCTGTCAGAACCCATCACCAGCCCACAGCCCCATCTGAGTGAGCTCTGAAGGCATTTAAATGCCTTTGGAGTTTCCGGGTTGGGCCACCCGACGCCTTTGGAGACCACCTCCAGGTTGGGCTGGCCTGGCTGTGTTCTGAGAGTGAGTTCCGAAGGCTTTTATAGGCCTTCAAAGCCCACTTCCAGGTGGGGGCCTGCCCATATTAGGGCCTACCCATAGGAGGGCATAAGGCCTATAAAGGCCTTCAGGGCTCACTTTGGGAGCTCAGTCGGGCCGGCCGTCCCAGAGGTGGGCTCCAAAGGCATTTAAATGCCTTCGGAGCTCACTTCCAGTTGGGTGGCCCGACCCAGACGTAAGCTCTGAAGGTGTTTAAATGCCTTCGGAACCCAAGAACGTGTCTCCCACAAACCTCCATGAAAAACATGGAGGTTCGTGGGCGGATTGTGGGAGACACATTCTCTTGACCCCCTGTTTCTCAAGCCACAAACTGGCCTGATTCACGCTCAAACCAGGGTTCATTTGGGGGGTTGTGCCAATCCCTAATAAAGACACATCTGCATTGTGTATTTAGTTGAGAAAACTATTCCTAGAAGTGGGGGGTATATGAACTTATTAACTAAATCACAGATTGGTGTTTTACAATAGCTAGATTTGCTTTATTCTTTTTCTGAGATGTTGGTTTGTTTGAGTTGCCATTACCCAAAGAGATCCAGTCTCTTCCTCCTTTGTTGCATTTGGTTGTAGAAAGCCCTGTCACAGCCTCTGGTCTAAAACCTTTTCATAAATCCAAGTGACGGTTTGCATGGGTAGAAAGTGATCATAGATCAAATGCTACACATAGAGATTTCATATCCTCTTCCTACAAACCATGGTACGGAATCCTAGTTTGTAGGCACAAAAACAGCCCACAGTTGATCATCTCATGCAATTCAGACATCAAAACAAATGGTGGCTTGTATGAACAAGGAAGTATTCAGAGTCTAAGCTGAACACAAGGGAAGGGGGAGCACACAAACCCAAGGACTTTCAAGGCTTGTTCCTGCAATGACAAGCCTAGTTTCTTGTTGCATCTGAAAAGAATCTCACTCAAAGGATGATATGCTACATAAACATCACTTGATTACTGACATAAACCAGCTGCTTAATAGTGCTGCAGTTGATGACTGTTAATCATTCTTCTGAGTTCAGTGACTTCTTCTAGCTAAATTCCACTACACCGGGGTGGCCAAACTTGCTTAACATAAGAGCCACATAGAATAAACATCAGAAGTCTGAGAGCCACAATACATGAACAAATATAACCCACATGTTTTTATTGGAAAATATGTAGATTTGCTTTTTATTAACATTAAATGAGACTGCCAAAATAAAAACAAAGGGGGAAAAACAGATATTGATAATGATATTTAATTTTAGATGTGGATGGAGGGGAGAGAGAGAGAAAGATAAAGGAGGAAGGAAGGAAGGCAGGCAAATAGATTGGGAGGAGGGAGGGAGAGGTGGAAAGAAAGCAACTTTAAATGCATCTTCCAAGACCCCCACACTGGCTGGGTTGGCTTGGAGAAGGGAATTAAAGAGACAAATGCCTTCTCTAAGCCGGCCAGTGGGTGGATCTTTAAGAACGCATTTAAAGTTGCTTTCTTTCTCTGCTCCCACCATCTCAAACCTACCCAGGGAGGGGAATGCTGGCTGGGGAAGGGAAGACCGATCGGGGAGGCGTACCTCCCTTTTGCTTCCCCAGCCACCCTGCTGGGAGCCACACAATATGTGTGAAAGAGCCGCACACAACTCCTGAGCCGCAGTTTGGCCACCCCTGATCACCTGTCAGAATAAGAAAGTGCTTTGTTTAATAGAACCATGTGTACTTAGAAGTTATGAAAGCAAGAATCAGTTCATTTTGTAAATATAGTTTGAGGCATATCCCTTTATTTCCATGAAGATGTGTATCCCTATAGATAAGAAATCATTTTTGTTTGGAATATTATTTTTTGAGTTTTAATTGTGCAGCATATTTCAAAAGCTGATACCATTTACATAAAAATTAATAGTTTAATGATATTTTGTAGTGGTTACAGTGTTGGACAAGGATCTGAGAGGTCCAACTTTGAATTCTGAGTCTACCATGGAAACACTGGGTGACATTGGGCCAGTTACTCTCTCACTGTTATCTATCTCACAGGGTATTGAGGGTAAAATGGAGGAGAAGAGAACAATGTAAACTGCTTTGGGTTCCCATGGGGGGGGGGAGCAGGGTATAAACATCAAAGGGTGAGGCCCATTAGGCATATGTGTGTTATCTATTCTAAAAGCAGATTACAGAAAGTGGTAAACTGAATCAAAAGTACTCAGGTTCAAGTGATATGTTCTGGTTTTTCCAGTGGAAGTGAAGAAGCTCTGTCGAATGAAGACTGTGAGAATGTTTATCATTTGGTATATTCTGCACATCGACCTGTTGCAGTAGCAGCTGGGGAGTTCCTTCACAAAAAGTAAGCCTGTGTAATATATCTAAAAATAGCAAAATATTGAAGGAAAGCTAAAGGAGGACCATTAAGGGCATGGCACTCAAGTGGCTTTAATATTATTTGTTATACTACTGATCTTCCTTAATACACTTAGATGGGCGAGGAGGACCTTTGCTTTATGGGTTGGACAAATGTCACCAGAAATGTTTCCTGCTTGTGCAGCAAACAGTTTAGTTACTTAAAATATTTTTACTCTCATACTCAGCTACAAAGGTCTCAGTGAGGCTTACCATTTAAAACAAAGTTATCATATATAGCAATAGACAGTGAATAGAATTAATTAAAATAGCACAATAAAAGAGCGGTATTTATAAAGTTAGCAGTAGCATTGAGTGCACATACTACCTTAGCTTAACTTAAACAGTAGAAGGATCCAGTAGCAATTAAAATTTCAGAACAGCCATAAATAGTGAACAATGAAGAGAAAATCAGAATAAACAACAAATCATCCAAACTAAACAGCTTCAACAATCTACAGATGCCTGGACAAAGAGAAACATTTGATCTGGAGCCAAAAACTGAGCTGGTTTGGCACTAGGGGAGTGCGTTTGGTATAAACCAAACCGATAAGGTATTTTTCGGGTATTTGGCTACCGATATAGCTGAGCCTGAAAAAGCCATTTTCATTTTTATTTTTTTGCTTTTATTTGGGTCAGCTATACCGTGAACCAACCCCAGCCAAGTCAGCGCAGATCTCTCAGCTCCGTGCCACCTCAGCTGATCATCTTTTGCAGCTCCGAGCTGCAAGAGAAGATCAGCTGGGGTGGCGCGGAGCTGAGAGCTTTGCACCACCTCAGCTGGGGCTGGCTGGCTCCTCTTGCATCTTAATTTCAACCGAGCCAGCCCAGAATCAGCCAGGGTGGTGGGAGCCAGCGCCACGCAACCCCAGCTGATCCTCTTTTGCAGCTCCAAACTGTAAGAGAGGATCAACTGGGGTGGCACAGAGCTGAATGTTCCTTGCCACCTTGGCTAGGGCTGGCTCCGCTTTGCAGCTTGGTTCCAACTGAGCTGCAAAGCGAAGCCAGCCCAGGATTGGACTTTGGCAAGGCATGAAAAAGGTTCCCTTTAAATGCCTTTTTTTCCTCCATACCTTTTGCAAGCCCTGCTGCAAGGGAGCTGTGAAGCAGCAAGTTCACTCATGACGTGGCTTGCAAAAGACATTTTCTCCCTACATTGGAAACAATGAAGGATGGGGGCATCTTCTTCTGGGGCCCATAGAATTGGACCCCCTGGTTCAATCTTTTTAAAACCAGTGGGGAGCTGCAAATTTAGTGCCTCTACCTCAAAAAACAGATCCGCTAGAGCCCCAGATACCCTTGTATCGATTCTCCATTATAGCCTATGGGGACCATTGACTATAATGGTCCCCATAAGGTATAATGGAGCCAAAAAAAATTGGCAATCCCAAATATTTCCCAGATCCCAATAGCATGCTAATATTGGCATTCAGGAATATCGGGAAATACTGATATTTTTCTGGTTCAGTATACCCAGACCTGAAAAATATAAATTTTTGTTTGCATACATCTATTTGGCACCATGTGGATAATTATGGGAAAGGCAAAACAGAGAAGGCCCTCTCACTAGGAGCTTTACCTACCTTGCCTCTGAAGATGGAGGTCTCTCTGAAGAGCTCTTTTCCATTATTTCCATTATTTTTATGAATTGCTTGTAGACAGTAATGTAGCAACACTGCATAATTGTTTTATGGCTACAAATTAGGGAAGAGGCACACTTTCTAAATCAATATGCTAGTGGTTTACAGTATTCCTAGATGAATAGGAATCCTGAGTCATGCTATCCAAAGAGGTTGCATATTTCAATTTTTTCCATTGGCTATAGAACAGGAAATACTCTTTGTTCAGCAACTAACCAGATAGTCCTGTGTTATCTTTGTTAGCTCCTTAACTAAGTTTCAGTTAGGGGCCATGAAGATGCTTGAGCATCGCCTGTATTCTGCCTTGATGGTGAATATGTCACAAAGATCTTGGCACATGGACTTAACATGTTCCCTCCACCTGTCATTGGCTTGTTTGGTCTGGTGTCATGAGCAGTTTCATTAAGGGGGATTTTAGTGTTTAATATTTTAATTCAAGGACTGTGAGCAATGTTTGTGTGTATAAAACAGGTCCACTTTGCTCACATTTTGGCCTACTACTAGTCTCTTTTCTTCAAGATTCCTTTTTAGGTGTAGAAATTCTTACTACTTGATCACTGTCCACCACCCATCTATGATCTGAGTCTAGTCTTAATACAGTTGACTCTTAACATTCACCAAGCACATATTTCTCTGTGTCTTCTCTTACCCCTTGATTGAATTTTTCAAGGGAAGTTAGCTGTCACAGGTCAATAAGATTCTTCAGTGTATTCTACAAAGGCTGTCATTCAGCAGCCACATTTATACTCTTCTTTAGGCTGTGCTGACATAATGCGTTTTATGATTGGGCAGTACTATGTGTTCGCTGTTTATTTTTATTGGACCTTTGTTTATTTTTTTGGGACCTGGTGAAGGAATAAGTTTGCCTCCCAAGCATTACCTATAAAGCTGGCCCAGTGAACATGGCAACATGGAAAGTACTATTTTCTCTTTCTAGACTGTTTAGCCGGCATGACCCTCAGGCAGAAGAAGCACTAGCCAAGAGGAGAGGACGTAACAGCCCTAATGGGAATCTTATTAGAATGCTGGTTCTTTTCTTTCTTGAAAGTGAGGTAAAATTATGCTTTCCATTTTCATATAAAGTTTGGCAATATCTTCCTGTTAAATTACATCTTTGCACTTACTGTGAATGCTTCTCTGAAATCTGGCTTAGTTCTAAAGGATGTTGGCCCTCTCATTTATTTGCTTCTGGCTTCCGGGGTAGATTTCAAAAGCCATTGAAAAGTTTTAAAACTGATAAGGTCTGTTAATTATACAAGTGATACATATAGAAAGCTTCAATCCATATTGAATTCTTGTGAGCATTAGATGAGGCTATGTTTCCTGATTTGGTTTCACTATTTTAGAGGAATATAACGTAGTACAAGATAACAATATGTATTTTTAAAATTGCAGTTAAAGATTGTGCCTCTGAGTAAAATACTTTGAACCAAAGAGTCATTGATAAACAGCCTGCATATGTGTTTAGATAAATGTATTGTGAACTTCTGAATTCACAGTAATTTTGGGATTTTTTAATGGAGAAATATGTGGAAATAAACCACCCCAGATGTGTGCCGATAATGATAGATAAAATACTGTACACAATAGAAGGGGATATTTTTAAAAATTATTAAAAAGTAGTAGTCAAGTGTATCTAGTATTGACTGAAACTTAAAATCCTCTCACTCAAATATCTTTTCCTATTTGTGGTGGAGGCAGTAAAGAATCATCCAGTCTTCAGAAGAGTTTTGTGTAGCTTAGGAGTTGCATAGAGTAAGGATGGGGTGACTGACATAAGAAAACAATGGGGGGGTGGTAATCCTAAATCAAATTTGGATCCCCTTGCTCACAAAAGAGCTAAAGACAAGAAAATTAATGGATCTGGCAGACATTTTGCATTATTACTAAAGAATGATCTAATAATATTAAATGGATGCACACAGTTTGACGGAAAAGGATATTTTACTTGTATAAATCATTTAGGGCAAGTGTAGTAGACTATTTTGTTGCTTCTGCTGACTTACTCAAAAGAGTGGAATCCCTGGAAGTGAAGGATTATTTGGGGGGTGATCGTTATCTTGTACAATTATTATTACATTTAGATGTTTACAAACCTAGACACGTAACACCTTAAGATCACTGAGGTGGTGAGAAACCATTGCAGCAAAAGCGAAAAAACAAATGGACTTGATAAAAATGAGATATACAGGTTTCCAAATAATTGAAAACATAGGTAATATGGAAATGTTTTTAAAAAATTAATTGACTTTTTCAAGTCTTCCTTGGTGACAGCAAAGCCCAGGGGACAAGGTATAACCAACAGAAATAATTGGTACTACTCTGACTGTAAGGTTCTCAAAGGATCAATCAGGTGCCTATATAGACAGTTTAAGAACTTAAATAGAGATTTTGCCGAGTATTTTGAAACTGAAAAAATAATATTAAAAACTATTGAAATTTAAGAAGTCTGAGGCCCGGAAAAGAGATTGGGAAAGTCTGCTCTAGGCCATAAAAACAAAAAACAATTCTGGATCTCAGTTGCAAAAGGATTAAACACACAGCTCCCTGTAGCCTCTCATATTCCAGTCACTGGGAAGCTTTTTAACCTCTGTTTTCGCGAATGGAAACAGAAATATCTAGGAATATAGGCCGATATTGCCATTGGGTGCAAGTGAATGACCCCCAGTAACAACAAGTAAGACTAGGACTTTAATTAATCAACAACAAAAGGGGGAAAGCACCTGGGTCTGATTTAATACCAGCAGACCTATTCAAAATTGATCCAGACTGGTGGGCATTGATTTTGGCTGCTGCTTTCACTAAAATAAACAAGACGGGAAATATGCCCAAAGTCTGGTGTAATCCAATAATTGTTCCAATTTATAAAAAGGGAAACCTGATGGACTCAATGAATTACCACCCAGTAAGCTTACTATCCTCTATAGGGAAACTTTATGCTGCAATGCTTTTTGAAAAGTGGAATCTTTGGTTGAACATCTTGGGAAATAAACAGGCTGGGTTTAGAAAAGGAGCAAGTACCATTGATCATTGCCATACCTTATAGTTCTTAGTTGATAAATACACAAATTCTGGAGAAGGCATGTTGGCAACTGCATTCATGGACTTAAAATCAATGTTTGACACAATCTCTAGACCCCGGCTGTGGGAAAAGCTGAAGAAATATGGCATTGAACCATGTCTTCTTTACTTAATTCAACAGCTCCACAACCATTCCTCTTCCTGGGTTAGATGCGGGGAGTTAGGAGAGGTATCAGAGCCTTTAACCCTAGACAGAAGAGTCAAGCAGGGATATTTATTTGCACCCCTGTTGTTCAGTTTATATATAAAGGACCTCAGACCCAGTCTCCTGAAGGAAGCATGTCATCTTCCACATTTATCTAAGCACGAAGTTCCAGTCCTTCTATACGCTAATGATGCAGTGATAATATCTAGACTCTAGATCAATTGTGGGTGTCCACAAGCTGATAAAAAAATTTGAGCTTTACTGTTATCATGAGGGCTTGTCCATCAATGTGGCAAAATCCAAGGTCATAGTATTCACCAAAAAGAAAAAGGAGGAAATCTTCAAATGGGACATAGCAGACCAACCTTTGGAACAAGTCAGTCAATTTAAGTATCTGGGAATCCACTTTGAAGCATCTCTTACATGGAAAATACACTTGGATCTAGCAAGGAATACAGTCTTGAGAGTAGGGAGGACAGTTGTAAAATCCTTCTACTCATCGGGAGGTGAATTTGTCCTCTCAGCCTTAAAGGTATTTAATGCTAAGGTTCTAAACCAGTTTCTGTGTGGTGTGGAAATTTGGGTTCAGGCTGCTTCTGAAAAAATGGATTCTATCCAGTATGACTTTTCTCAACGCATATTGACTACTCCTAGATGTGTCTCGGGCATAGCACAGAGAGTGGAAGTAAACAAATTATCAATGGAAGTTGGCCTTGGATTAAAGCATTTCTCTTCAAAGTAAAGGTTTTTAAATCTGAGCTCTACTTGGGCTTATCCAGGCAGATAAACATTATAGCCAATGGGATCAGCTATTGGAAAAGAAACTGAAATGCCTAGGAATAACAAATGATATGATTAAGAATACAGAAACTAAATACATTATAAGACAAATTAAAAATGTATAAAGAAGTTGGATGTTACAAGTATGTCTATTAGGGCCCGCAGGATATGTTCTACACTCCATTTGGGAATTGCCCTCCCAATGCAACTGCTGAAATATTTTTATCAACTGACAGTCCCAAAACTAAGAAGAGCTTTTACTTTGGCAAGAATGAACATTCTTCCCTTGGCGGTTTTGGAGGGCAGATATAATAGAATATCATACTCTAATAGAACATGCAGATGCTCATATGATAAAATTGAAACCATTGAACATATGATTATGGAGTGCCCTATATTCAACAAGCTGAGAGCTAATTTAGTCACCTCTTTGTTTAAAGATATGGAGTTGCTAAATATGCGAGCCCAGGTGTCATGGCTACTATCAGATACAAATTATTGTGTCACCCTCTCAGTGGCAATTTTTTTTTGTTCTAATTTCTGCTTAAGGTGATAGCTGTATGAGCAGTACTAGATAGATACATAGAGTTGCACACTGCATTGAGAATGTTGCGTGTTCATAATGAAGGCATTTTACTATTCCTGAATCATGTTATAATGGGCCACCATAAATACTTGCCTTGGATCTGCTAATAAATTAATTTTAAATTGAATATATCGTAGTCCTTTTTATTATATTCTGATATCACAAATTTACTTTATAATTTCATAATTACTCCAAATTAAATTGTTGTGTAATTTACTGCATTAACCAAATGTTATGTACTTTTTGAGGTGTGGGAGGGAGACACTAACAGTGACAGGACTGAATTGCTTGAGAACACATTGTAACAGCTCACCCAGTCATGGTTTACAATGTGTTTTTAAAAGTGTCTAGTACTGTAATGATACTGTCCTGTGGTCTCTATAAATGTAGTACAAACAAATCCAATCTGTACTTTGGCCTTTTCCTTAAAGGATAATAACTGCATATTAAAACACAGCTCAATTAAGACTGAATCAGTAGGAAGAATAGAACGCAATATGTATTTTTGTCAGAAGGCTGATCCAAATGTAATACTGGAATTATAATATCAATCATCTTGCAATGCTATTGTAAAAAAGACTAAAAGTAACCAATGTGCATCTGGAATTATGGAGGGGGGAAGAATCTATTAGATGGAAAAACCCACATTTGTCTAGAAGACCAAGAGCACTGCTTTCCCCAACAAGAATCCAATGGTTAACAGTTAGAGGCATAAAATTTGTGACTAAGGCCCAGACTACACATTACATTTAAGATGTGATCCCAACGGAATTGGTAGCAGGATGCCAAATGTGAGTTCCCCATAGCAACTCAGTTCTAAAATGCTGCAAGGGCCCATAGCACAGTGGGAAGAGGAGCTTTGGCATTCCCCCCATGGCATTTTCCCAACTCAAAATGTCCGTAAGCAGGCTTGTACCATGGGGGGATGCATATATGTAGCTCTCAGTGGCAAATAATACCCCATGGCTCCATTCTGGGTCAGGAAAACAGCATGGGGAGAAGGCTGGAGCCCCTCCTCCATGCTGCAGTCCTGATCTGAACTAGGCTCCTGTAGCACTTTAGAATAGAGTTTCCATGGGGAATTCACAGCTGGCACACAGCTTATACAAGCTTACACAAATGTAAGTTGGAATAAATTTGTAGTCTTTAAGGAGGCCCCAGGTTCTTGTTTTGTTTGTTTCAAACCATTAAAGCTGCCCTCTGATATTTCCATGTAGTCTTTTTCCTCAGCTTCCTCTCTTAGTTTAGTGAAGTGTTCTCAGTGGGATGATTTACACTTATTCAGTATGTCTCTCTGAATTAAATGGGACTTAGAACCATAGAGTTGGAAGGGACCTCTAAGGTCATACAGTCCAACCCCTTGCACAATGCAGGAAATTAACAAATACCCCCTCACACACCCAATAACCCCTGTTCCATGCCCAGAAGATGACAAAAAACCTCCAGGATCCCCAGCCAAACTGGCCTGGAGAAAAGTTGCTTCCTGACCCCAAAGTCCTGGGCATGTAAGAAAGGGCCACAAGAACAAAGCACTAATGCAACCCTTTCTGCCCTCCCTTCTCGTGGTCTGCCTAAGTTCACAGAATCAGCATTGCTGTCAGATGGCTATCTAGCCTCTGTTTGAAAACCTCCAAAGGAGAGCCCACTACCTCCCAAGGAAGCCTGTTCCACTGACGAACTGCTCTGTCAGGAAGTTCTTCCTTATGTTTAGCCAAAAACTCTTCTGATTTAATTTCAACCCATTGGTTCTGATCCAACCTTCTGGGACAACAGAAAACAACTCTGCACCATCCCCTGTATGATAGCCCTTCAAGTACTTGAAGCTGGTTATCATATAACATCTCCAGGCTGAATATGCCCAGCTCCTTCACCTTTTCCTTGTAGGACTTGATCTCTAGACCCCTCAAAATTTTTGTTGCCCTCTTCTGGACATGTTCCAGTTTGTCTATATCATTCTTAAATCGTGGTACCCCAGACTGAACACAATACTCCAGGTGAGGTCTAACCAGAGCAGAGTAAAGCGCAGCCATCACTTTGCGTGATCTGGACACTACTTCTGTTGATACAGCCCAAAAATCACATTTGCCTTCTTAGGTACTGCATCACACTGCTGACTCATGTCTACTAAGACCCCTAGATCCTTTTCGCACATGATACTGCCAAGACAAATCTCTCCCATCCTATAATTATGCATTTGATTTTTCCTACCTAAATGCAGAACTTTACCCCATTGAAATTAATTTTATTTGTTTTAGCTCAGTTTTCCAGCCTATCAAGATTATCCTGTATCCTGACTCTGTCTTCTACCGTATTTGCTACCCCTCCCAATTTAGTATCATCTGCAAATTTAATAAGAATTCTCGCTATTCCTTAATCCAAATAATTTATAAAGATGTTGAACAAAACAGGTCCCAGGACAGATCCTTCAGGTATTCTACTTGTCACTCTTCTCCAAGCACTCTTTGGGTGCCATCTGTCAATCAGTTACAGATCCAACTAACAGTAATAGGATCCAAACCACATTTTACCAGCTTGTCAACAAGAATATTATGTGGACCTTTTTCAGAAGTCTTACTGAAATCAAGATAAACAATTACAGCATCCCTGATGCAGCAAGGTAGTAACTTTCTCCAAAAAAAAGAGATAAGGTTAGTCTGGCATGCCTTGCTCTTGAGAAACCCATGCTGAGTCTTCATGATCATGACCATCCTTTCTAAATGCTCGAGGACCGAATGTTTCATGATTTGTTCTAAAACTTTTCCAGGTATAGCTGTCAAGCTGACAAGTTGGTAGTTACCTCGATCCTCCCCCCCCCTTCATGAAGATGGGGATGACATTTGCTCACCTCCAGTCTTCTGGCAACTCACCTGTTCTCCAAGAATTCTTAAAAATAATGGACAGAAGTTCAGAAATTACAACTGCAAGGTTTTTTAGTACCATTGGATGCTATTCATCTAGCTCTGGTGCTCAAGCAGTGAAGGGGATATTACACTAGGGAACCGCCATCAGTGTGTACATGTGCACAAACAGGTCAGGCAGTTTCCAGGACCTAGCATGTGCATGGGTACCTACCCTGTCCCTGTTCCACCATACTCCAATGTTTAAAGTTCATACGTAAATATGGAGTTGAGATTGCTGCTGTCAGGCGAGCCCTGTACAGTCTGTGGAACACCCCACCCATCATTGTGCTCTGAGACAGGCAAGCGGTCAGTACAGATCTTTCTGCATGGGGGCAATGTGACCTAGCGCCCAGAAATAGTGTAGCTTCCACATTTTGGACCAGTTGAAGTTTCTCAGCCATTTTTAAAATCAGTCTCTTGGCAGAGTACATCCTAGTTTCTTGTTCGTATAAATGATGTGTACTAGACATGAATAGTGTAAGAGCTTGTATTAAGTACCCGTAAGGGGGAACCACTCACCCCTTGTAATTCTGTTGGGTGCTGAGCTCTAAAGAAGCAACACCAGCAATGGATGCTGTTGCAGAGCATCTATGCAGAACAAGTTTTGAGAGGGTGTGGAGAAAAGAAGAATCATTGCTAGCCCTTTTTATCTCATTTTGCCAGCAACTTTGACACAGCCAGCACCAGGTTGCTTGAGCATCCTTTACATTGCTGTAGTCATTGTTCTACAGGTGTCTGCTTGTGCAGCTGGTTATAGTAGGAGTGGATTGGGCTGTCCATATTGTTAATAATTGTATAACTTGCTGATTAGCAATGATTTTGTGCTATTTTAGGGGATATGGCAAATATTAAATAATATTATACCCACACTTTTATAAAGTTATTCTGTGTTTTCTAGTTGCATGAACATGCAGCTTACTTGGTGGACAGTTTATGGGAAAGTTCTCAAGAACTGTTAAAAGACTGGGAATGCATGACAGAATTGCTGCTGGAAGAACCTGTTCAAGGAGAAGAAGGTATGTGTTAGATCTGTGACATCAGCACAGCATGATCTGATCTCTTTAGTTTTAAGTGGATGGAAAACAAACACTCATAAACTGCTCAACTGAAAATAAATCAAAACAACATTACATTTTTGGATTGCAATCAGATTGAAACATTGTTGTCATGTCTAACTATAAATATTGAATGGTTCAATTGTATTGCTTCCGGTTCTGGCATTATGTACAGATAAGTACAAGGAATTGTGTTTTTTTTCATGAGGTGGCTTATAGACTCCTGGGAACATAAGAAAAATAAGAGAATAGTCTCTTGGAAAACAGTGGTTGAAATGATGGTGGTGGTAATGTGTGAGGCAGTGAAATACAACCTAGTACTTGATTTTACAAATTGAACAGAGTAGAGTTCATCATTTTTAAGAGTAACATTGAAAACGATTTCATTACATAATTCATTCTCTGATGAAAAAGCTATGCAACATTATTTGCTTTCAGAAGACACACAGTAGACACTAATCATCTTATATTCTATACAATAAGCCTATTCCAGAAACATTTCCCATTAATTTTGTAATGATTTATAAGGCTTTTTTTAAAAAATCCTTTTTTAAAAAAACCTTTTTTTAAAAAAAATCTAGAGCAGCATTGGGCAGTTTCTTTGGTCTTCCAGGCCTCCTTCACATATGAGTTGTCAAGCGTGATAAATTGGTTACACTCATAATCCAAGATGCTCCCTGATTTTAGAACTTTTTTTCACTTCCTCACAGACATGAAATTGGTTTCATAGTATTGCCAGTCACTTGGGCACAAAACAAATTAAGATGCAGATGGATGGAATGTTAGATGGATGAAACTGAAAGTCACCATTGGACTGTGGGAGAGGAGAATGAAGTATGAAAATAGACAAACCATATATTTATTTATTTATTTATTTATTCAGGTATTTCTACCCCGCCCTACCCCGCAAGCGGGCTCAGGGCGGCTTACAGAGGCATAAGCCCATACATAAAATTCCATAAAATCCAATAAAATCACAAAATCACAACCGACATACTATCAATAATAATAAAGTGCTTTAGATTCCAAGATGGTCTGCAGTTGGCACCTGCAGGGAACAACCCCTGCTGGCATTAGTTGTAATAATATCATCCCAGCAGTATTAGTCCAGGCTAATCGGCTGGTCTTGCTGTCATATAGTTCACCTCGCCGCCGGGCTATCAAGGGCACTCCAACTTTAATGATCTTTCTGTCGTTGGTAATGATGGAAGCGGCGGCCCCTACATAAAAGCCTGGTGGAAGAGCTCCGTCTTGCAGGCCCTGCGGAATTGCAAAAGATCCCGCAGGGCCCTGATCTCGTCCAGGAGCTCATTCCACCAGGTAGGGGCCGCCACATACCATACCTCTCGGGGACCCGGAACCACTAAACGGCTCTGGGTCCCCGACCGAAGTGCTCTTGGGGGTATATACGGGGAAAGGCGGTCCCTCAGGTAGGTCAGACCCAGGCCATATAGGGCTTTAAAGGTGAGTACCAGCACTTTGAAGCGGATTCGGTATGCTATAGGCAGCCAGTGCAGTGCCTTCAACCCAGGCTTGATGTGCTCCCACCTGGGGAGGCCCATCAGCAGCCTAGCCGCCGCATTCTGCACCAGCTGCAGCCTCCGGATCAGCGACAAAGGCAGCCCCATGTAGAGAGCGTTACAGTAGTCTAACCTTGAGGTGACCGTCGCATGGATCACTGTAGCCAGATCTTTGCGGTCGAGGAAAGGAGCCAACTGCCGAGCCTGCCTCAGATGGTAAAATGCAGACCTGGCAGTGGCTGCTACCTGGCCTCCATCGTTAAGCACTCCCAAACTCCTAACCTCCGACGCAGGCACCAAAGGTACCCCATCGAAGGTCGGGAGAGGGAGCCCTAACCCCAAGCCGTTCCGACTCAGGCCCAGGACCTCCGTCTTCGCTGGGTTTAGTTTCAACCGGCTCAGCCTGAGCCACTCAGCCACAGCCTGTAATCCCTGTTGAAGATCTTCAGGGTCGGAGCCCGACCGGCCACCCAACATCAGATAGAGCTGGGTGTCATCTGCATACTGATGACAACCCAGCCCATACCTCCTGGCAATCTGGGCAAGAGGGCGCATATAGATGTTAAAAAGCATTGGGGAAAGCACTGCCCCCTGAGG